CAACAACTCTCCGATTTGTTGTACAAGTACCATGATATATTTGCTTGGGAGAAGTCCAACATTGGAAGAACCAACATGACTTATCATACTATAGATCTAACTGACTCAAGACCAATTAGACATCAACCAAGAAGAGTATCTCCTGATAGAAGGAAGTTTATCCAAGAAGAATGTTAGACGCGGGATTCATTCGTGAATCAAATAGTGAGTATGCCTCAGGAGTTGTAGTAGTAGAAAAGAAAGGAGGAGACTTACGATTCTGTGTAGACTATAGAGACTTAAATAAAAAGACCAAGAAGGATTCTTATCCTTTACCAAGGATTGATGATACTCTAGAAATGCTACAAGGATCACAATGGTTTTTATCCTTAAATTTGGCAAGTGGATACTGGCAAGCAGAGATGAAACCAGAAGATATCCAAAAGGCTGCTTTCATCACACATCATGGACTCTTTGAATTTACAGTAATGCCTTTCAGATTGACAAATGCTCCTGGAACTATCCAGAGATTGATGGATAAAGTCCTCTGGGACATGCTATGGAAATCAGTAGTAGTATACCTTGATGATGTCAACATCTTCTCAAAGACATGGAAGGAACATCTAGAACATCTAGAAAATGTTTTCGAACATATACAAAAAGCAAGATTGAAACTCAGCCCACAGAAATGTCAATTTGGAAACACAGTGTTGAAATTTTTGGGACACATAGTTGGAAATGATGGAATCAAGATGGATCCAGCGAAGATAGAGAAGGTGCAGAACTTTCCTAAACCTATCAACGTCACCCAAGTAAGAAGTTTCTTAGGACTCTGCAATTACTATAGAAAATTTGTAAAGGGATTTGCAAAGAGATCTTCACCTTTAACAGAAATATTAAAGAAAGGAGAAGAGTTTAATTGGACGAATAGACAACAAAGGACTTTTAAAGACTTGATAGAACAACTCACCACTGAGCCTATATTAGTATATCCAAACCGGAAGCAACCATTCATCTTATCTACAGATGCATCAACATTTGCTTTAGGAGCAATTCTTTCACAACTAGATAATAAAGGAAATGAAAGAGTGATTGCATATGCTAGCAGACAACTAAGACCAGCAGAGAAGAACTATGCAGCAACAGAATTAGAATGCCTTGGCATTATATGGGCTATAAAACATTTTCATACATACCTTAGTGGATCCAAGTTTAAATTAATTATGGATCATGCAGCATTGAAGTATTTAAACAATATGAAAGAACCAAAGGAAAATTAGCTTGTTGGATTATGACATTACAGTCATACAATTTCGAAGTAGAACATAGTTTAGGAAAGAAGCATCAGAATGTAGATGCAATGTCTAGAATAAAAACAGGATACTGGGATTGATTTAATTAAATAGAACATTTTAATTAATTAGTATTATTTATATATATAACATATAATTTTATTTTTTTTTTTTTCTCTTCTCATATATTATTTTATCATTTATATTATTTATTTAATTATTACTTAACTTTCTTGCAGACATGATGACTTGGTGGATGATCATGACAGTGATGCATGGATCTGGTTGGGGTGCATTACACTTTTTACACTTTGTACATTTTTTACACTTTACAATTTTATAAATTAGTATTATACAATCTTTATTTATTATTTATCCAGATTTAATCTTTCCAGAATCGTCTACAGATGAAGAACAAAAGAAAATAAGAAGTCAATCAAGATATTTTCTTGTCAGAGAAGGTATCCTATACAAAAAGAATAGGAAGA